CAGTTTTACTAATAATTATTATATTTTTCTTGAATTATATATTTACTTTTAAAAATTTTTATACCATTTTAAATTTGAGACAGCTGTTACAGGACAAACACATAAATCATAAATCATAAATCATAAAACTACTAACAGAGGCAAACAGACACAAGTTAAACACACGCCTTGGCAACCAAGAAGATCCCGACGAAGAAACACCGATTCTTGGAATATTTGTTTCCCATAGGCTTTATATTCGACTTCGTACGGATCGAACTTCTTGTTTTATCTGATCTTTCAAGACTCTTCTCATTAACTTGTTCGAAGCTGTTCTTGGAAACTCAGGAACAATCTTTACAAAACTCACCTGCAAAATTTTGTAAAAATCCAAATTTTCAAGCAGATTAAAATCTTTGTAAACTTTGATTTATATAAGATTACCTTGAAGAGAGGATTAAGATCTTTTTGAATGGTTCTTGAGAATTTCATCTTTAGCTCTTCTTCACTCTGTTTCTTGAATCCTTCTTTCAAGACGGCGAATATAACTAGCAACTCTGGACCACCATTAGGTGGTGTTATGGTCACTGCAGCCGTCTCAGAGATGCATTCATCGGCTTGATCACACACTCGTTCGATCTCAATAGAACTCGTCTGCGTTATTATAACAAAGAAACAAAAGATGAAAACTTGAGCAAGTTCCGACACGAATGAAGCTTTATATAACGCAATGTAATACCTTAATGCCTCCAAGATTCATGGTATCATCAGCTCTGCCTTGAACATGGAAATATCCCCCAACCGTTCTTTTCACGATATCACCGTGTCTTCTAAGTCGCTGCAAAACAGAACAGAACAATTTAAGTGATGTGCGTTTGCAATTTAGATAGCTGTGTGTATAGGAGTCTTAGTACTACTACTACTCACTGTTCCCTTATACACTGGCATTCCCTTGAAGTAAACCTTATCATGGTCTGCGTTAAGAAGTCTATCCGTAGCCCCGAGGTGTTGCGGAAACAAACCGACTTCTCCAGTACATGGTTGATCCTCTGGCTGCAAAAATCAGTGTCAATTTCAATCAATCTCTGTGTAGCCTTAGGAAAAAAACCCAAAGATGTCAACAGTTTCAGTTTGTTACATATGGGACACCGTTTTCATCGAAGATGATGATTCTAGTAGTCATGGATGGTGTGCTAATCGCTCCAAAAGCCTGCGGTTGAAGCGGACTTCCTATAATGTATGAAGAAGCGAGTTCCGTGCCTCCACAGCATTCAATCACTGGTTTGTAATAAGCTTTAGAAGAAAGCCATAGAACATCATCAACATTTGAAGCTTCTCCTGTAGTCGCAAAATATCTAACAAAACACAAAACAGCTTCAGAATCAACTCTCAACAAGAAATAACAAGACATATAAAACCCGAAAGAAAAGACCGAGGTTTGTTGCTCGTTACTTTATCTTCGTCCAATTAAGACCTTCCATACAGTTTCTCCTCCTCCAAGTTTTCACCAAGCTTGGAACAGTACCAAGAACTGTAACTCCAGCATCCTAAAGTAACACCAAGCACAAATAAGTGTGGATTTAAATGTTACCAAGATTGAAAAGGAGACAACAATGGAGATGTATGTCTTGCCTCAACAAACTTTCCGAAACCGCGGCCAAGGGGAGAACCGTGATATAGAGCGAGCGTTGCACCGGTTAAAAAGCATGAGAACATAACAGTTGGTCCCATTACCCATCCAAGATTTGTAGGCCAACAATATGTGTCACCTACTTTAACATCAAGATGAGCCCATCCATCACAAGCACTACGAATTGGCGCGAGTTGTGTCCACGGTATAGCTTTCGGTTCACCTAGTTTAGATTTAGTACTAATCAAATAGATGCAACTAAACATATCTACACAATTTTATCATATATTTTCTTCTTTTTACCTGTAGTTCCTGATGAGAAGAGAATGTTAATCAGAGAGTTTACAGGAAGATAAACCGGACGATTATAGTTCTCTCCACTGCAAGACAAATTGGAGTCATGTCTCATCTATACACTATTTGAGTGGTTGCAAATGTTTGAGATGTAAACAATTTACCTTGCATTGGACAGAAAATCCTTCCACGGTATGTCTTGTTCTCTTAACTGAACGCGCAACTCAGTCCCTGAAGCAGGGAGGACAATGATCTTAGAAGGAACAGCTTCAACCACCCGGCTACATGAAAACAAGAAATGTTTCAGTTTTGTTCATAAAAGTTGCAAAATTTAGCCATGGAAAGAGCTGGTTTGTCACCTGTATAAAGGAAAACTCCGACCTCCTCGGAGTATATAATCCTGAAAACCGCGATAAGAAATGAAAACGGTAAGGGACATATAGAAGGCGAAGAGATGTGAGTCAATCCTATGTCACAAACCTGAGTGAATATGCCTTTTGCTTTAGAAATTTTCAACCTTGTTGCAATTTCTTTAGCTACAAAGCTGTCTGCTATGGAGACAACAACACAACCGGCAAATATGATTGCGATATATATAATCACTGCATCGACTGTCATTGGCATATCGATTGCAATTGTATCACCCTTTGCAAAAACCCCACTTATCGCATTTGCCACCAACCTTTTTAAGTATCAAAGGAACAGAGAGATCAATCACTAATGGAGCTTAACAATGAGTATCAACGACATTCATTTCACATACATTACTCGTTGCCGAAGTTCTTTTAATGTCATTCGATTGACTGGAGAATCATCATAACCTTCATCTCGCCACACAACAGCCACACTATCATCCTCTTTTTTAATATTGCTTGAAGAAATCAGAGAACATTCAGCTATGTTAAGAACAGCATCAGGAAGCCAAGTCCCTTGAGGTTTTGATTTGTCAAGGATACACCTCGGAGGAGAACAAAACACAAGTGAAAGCTCATCTAAAACAATTGACCAATAAACCTGAAAACAAAAAAAAAAGATATTAAATCAGACCAAAACCAAAGCTTTACACAAAGAAGTCCTTCAAATATTCAACATCAATG